TTCATACTAACAAAGAAGAGTTATCCCTGATTTCTTCACGTTTTTTTTCATTTACTTTACAAAAATAAAAGTTGTTCTTAGGAGCAAAAAATCGATTGAATATGGAACGTTCAAACTATATTAAAAATATTACTTTTTGTAAAAACATTCTATCAGGACATCGACCAGCGTTATTTTGATCAAAATATCAGTATTGGACCGAATATGACTTAATAAAATGTTGATGTGCAAAAGATACGTGTGTTACAGTTGAAAATGCTTTTTTTTTCGATGTTTGTTAGTAGTTTCACTGTTTGTTTATAAATTTTTATCAAAATCGAAATAGACACATCACTTTAGACGGGGAATATCATTTTATTTATGATTTTACTTACTCTGACAGCAGACACCACGTGCTTTTTCGACCAAACTTTTTAGTTATTTTGGTTAGAAACTTGACGTAATATTATTTTTGTGTAATATTTGTGCTTTTGTTTAACTACGATAATTTCGACTACGACAATTTAACTACGATAGAAAACGCATTCGATAATGTTTCCCCTTCTGTTCCTTTTGATCAGATTTGGAGAATTTAGCGATTGTCTGTGACCTTGCGATGTTTAGGTCACGATGAAGATCACTGTTTCGAATGTAAGCGCATTAATTGTATACTTTGGAACTTTGTTTTGAAAGTGTTGTATCACGTGGATGTTAAATTTGTTATAAGTAGTACTTACCCATATATTTATAATAAGCAAGTTGTGGATTGATAACTTAGAATTACGAACAAATACATTTTTCCGAACTTGATGTTATGTTCATAACGTTTCTTCTTAATATGCTCTTTTCCTCAAAACTTGGCATCAAGAGTCATACTTAAATTGTGTACCATAAAAGTAGACTGGTTGTTGTGCAATCGTTTTATTTGTGAAGGAATATATATATATATTATATATATATATAATATATATATATATATATATATATATATGTACATCGATTTAAATTCGTTGTTAAGTTTAAAGCACAGATTGAAGTTTTCTGGTTGAGCTTTCCACGGAGTCCCCCACAGACGTGATCGCCGTTTCATCAGCGAAAGTGGCCATTGTGTAGTACAATGTTGTTGGAATATCACTGATGTATATCAGATGTAAGAGTGGCTCCAAAAGACTCCCTTGTGGTATCTCAGCTTTAAGTTGCTTCAGTGCCGACTAAGAATCGTCATTTTATACACCAAAATATCTGTTAGTCAAATAAGATTTTAAAAGTATATAGAGACTAATAGGAAGTAATGATCTTAATTTATGGAGAAGACTTCCATGCCATACTTGAGGCTGTTCGTAGTCAAGAAAGACGACAGAACACATACACCTTTGTGTTCTATTGTTTTTTAGTATACTTTGAGATGATATCTTTAATATGTTTAAAATGTTTCAAGATCAATTTCACAAACAACTTTGACATCATTGCTAATAGTGAAATGTCGATATGATTCCACTTTTTTTAAGTTCTTACCAGGTTTAGGAACCATTATAACTTCAGCTGTTTTCCATAAATCTGGTATATAGTTAAGGAGAATACAAGCATTGGTCAGTTTGTCTTTTATTAAAATCTCAAAATCTTGTTATTAGACAAATCCTAATACTTTTTTCGAATTGAGCTTTTTTAAATTTACTTAGTTTAGCAGTTTTCTTCGTGGTAACCAGTGCGATTGTGCGTTACATTGAAATCTTGTTACGGAAAAATATTGGAAATGTTCTGGAAAAATATTTCCTTTTTGTTTGGGCTCACAACTTAGATTGTTGTGAGCCCAAATTCCTTCTAATACGATTCGCCTGGTCTATTGGACGTTGAAGACATTGTAGTGTGAGTATTTAGTACAATTATCTGCAGTAAGTTCTGCAGACACTTGCTGGTCGATATTTGTTTGATATCGTTTTGTCATTACTACCATCTTCTCTGAATAATTAATAAGTAGAGTGTGAAATTATTAACAAAAAACGAAAAAAAAAAAATTAAATTTAGCACGTTGTATCTTTACCCGCAGTGGCATTTTATTAAGGAATTTATTCGGTTTATTTTGATCACAATAACCTGATTCTTTCAGGTTGTTGAAAGTGATCCAAGTGTACGCTCCGACCAAAAGCCACGACGATGAAGAAGTAGAAATATTTTATGATGAAATAAGAACTGCTATAGAAACAAATAAAGCAAATTACGAAATACTATTAGGAGATTTTAATGCTAAATTGGGCAAAAAAGAGGAAGATTATGAACATTTAATTGGTAACTATGGCTACGGGAAAAGAAACGATAGAGGAGAAATGCTTCTCAATTTCATGAATGAACATAACATGTACTCAATGAAATCCTTTTTCAATAAAAAACCAAGCAGAAAATGGACATGGATGAGTCCCGATAAAAAGACAAAGAATGAAATAGATTATATCTTAACGAAGAATAGAAACCTAGTAGAAGACGTATCAGTATTAAATCAGTTTGACCTAGGAAGCGATCATAGACTAATAAGAACAAAACTAGTAATTAACAAAAAACTAGAAAGAAAAAGAATACATGAAAAAAGATACACATGGACATCTGAAGAAATCAAAAATAGTGAATTTAATAAAAAGATAGTGCATGCATTAAATCAAGTTAGCATGCAGCAGATAAACTCCAATGATATTGATGATTTGAATAACCTTATTACCGAAACAGTGAATAAAAGCCTTCTGCAACTGAAAAAACCGAAAACAACATACAATGAATTAGACAAAGAAATATTACAACAAATAGAAAGAAGGAAGATCTTAAATAAATCTAACAAAAGGGGAACCGACGAATATAGAGAACTTAATAGGCAGATTAGAAAAGGAATCAGACAACAAAAAAGAAAAGAAAACGAAAAATTAATAACAACAACTATTGAAAAAAATAAGAGTATGAAATGTCTCAGACCGACACTAGGACGACGTCAGATGATATCATTAATAGGAAAAGACGAAAATGAAATCACAAGTAGAGAAAACATACTGACACGAATAGAAGAATTTTACACAGAACTTTACAGATCACATCAACAAGATGATGAGATGAGACCAGCACGGAAATTAATAAAAAATGTTGGATCAGAAATAATGCCAAAAGTAACAATTTCAGAGGTAACTACAGCATTGGAAAACATGAAGAGAAATAAAGCTGCAGGAGAAGATAGTATTACCACAGATATGATATTAGAAGGAGGTCAGGAACTAATTGCAATTGTAACTAAGCTTGTGGACAGTTGTTTACATCAGGGCAAAGTCCCTAAGAGCTGGAACAACTCTAAAGTAATCTTATTGCACAAGAAAGGTGATAGTCGAAAATTGGAAAACTACAGACCCATCAGCCTATTGTCACACCTGTTTAAAATACTCACCAAAGTCATAACTACTCGACTAACAAGGAAATTAGACGAATACCAACCATATGAACAGGCAGGTTTTAGAAAAGGCTATTCAACTTCCGATCACCTGTTAACCACAAAAATATTAATAGAAAAATGTAACGAATACAAGTTTCCAGTTTTCCTTGCATTTGTAGACTATGAAAAAGCTTTCGATACCATAGAACACACGGCCGTAATAAACGCAATGCAAAATTGTAGAATAGACAGCAGATATATTAACTTAATAAAAGAAACTATGAACCAAGCTACAGCTACATACTACCTAAATGAAAATGAACACACGAACCCTGTACCACTAAACAGGGGAGTCAAACAGGGAGATACTTTATCACCCAAACTGTTCACCTTAGTTTTGGAGGACGTTTTTAAAAACCTAAATTGGAAATATAAGGGAATAAACATCAATGGCCGCTACCTCAGTAATCTACGATTTGCAGATGACATAATCCTGATAGCTACTGACCTACAAGAAATGCAAACCATGCTTGTAGAACTTCATACCGAATCTTCTAAAATAGGACTGAAAATGAATTTAAACAAAACAAAAGTCATGCACTCCGAAGACACCGTGACAATAATAAACGATAAAGTTATAGAAAAAGTTGAAGAATATATATACTTGGGACAAAAAATAATCCTAAATAGGGAAATTCAGACTGAAGAAATAAAAAGAAGAAGAAAGTTAGCTTGGGCAGCATTCGGTAAACTGAACTATATACTCAGAAATCAACAAATTCAATTACATCTTAGATCTAAAGTTTTTGATGCATGCATTATCCCGATATTAACTTATGCGGCACAAACATGGACAATCACAAAAAAGAATATGAATATACTTAGAGTCACTCAACACGCGATGGAAAGAGCAATGCTAGGTATATCACTTAAGGACAAGAAAACAAACACATGGATAAGACAGAAAACCAAAGTCACCGATGTGGTGCAAAAAGCATTAAAGCTGAAATGGGAATACGCTGGACATGTAGCTAGGAGCGATCTAAACAAATGGCACAGATCAATTTTAACCTGGAGACCATACCAACACAAAAGACCCAGAGGCAGACCTCCTATGAGATGGACAGATGATCTGAAAAGGACTGCCGGGAAAAATTGGCTACAAGTAGCGTACAATAAAAAACAATGGAAAGGAAGACTTGAAGAGGCTTATGTTCAGATGTGGACGTGAATGGCTAGACGAAGAAGAAGAAAGAAGAACCTGATTCTAGTCTTAACCTAGGCTGTTGATAAAAAAATGGTCGTTTTCAGGCACTAATTAGTGAATTTTTGGAAACTACTCATGTCTTAAAGACACGTTAGGTGGTTTCAAAATACATAATTATTATAATTAATTTTTAAATACAACACGCTGTAAAAATACATCATATATTGACTTAAAAATGGTACAGTTGTAATAATCACTCCTATTAATGCAAGACTATATTTTTTGTTGACATCAATCTTACATTTGTATAAAATTTAGGGTAGATATTTGGTTGAATCTAGAAGGTTCAGAGATTTTTATATATAGTTTGAATTGACAAAAAAATATTGAGTATTATTTTTTATTAAGTAGATGATAGTACAAAAAAAGATATGCATGAATTTGTATCTGACACCCTTCAAGCCAGTAGTGAAGATTTAAATGAAGTACGTGAAGGAATGAAAAAATTAGCTTTAGGATCAAAGAACAATGGTAAGTTTATATGTGCTTTTATTGTTCTAATGTTCAGTTCATATACCATATTTTTAGAATTCCTAACTAATATTTACCACTTGTATGAATGCAATGACGTCATGAGGCATACAGTTCACAATATCTGTTGAATGTTGTCTTTTGCCTTTGGTGTGTAGCTTAAACGAATTTGTATTGAATATGAATTTTTATTCAAACCGTTTGTTATTTACTACTGTACCAAAAACTATCATTTGTTGTGTCGTAGTACAAGGCGTTAGAAAGAGATAGAGAAAGAAAGGTACAATATGTAAAACTTTTAATAAGATAGAGGAAGTATGATAGGTTGTCCTGTATATTTATTCAATGTTCGTATTATGTTCGTAATATGTATGTTATATTGAATATATATGTATATATATATTCAATGTTCTGGCATTATAATACATTTGAAAATTATTGATAGTACAAATTTTATAGGCCTAAATACAGGGTTGGTCAATGCAAAAAAACGTAATAATCGATACCTTCTTAATTGAATTTTCATTCGACTTTAATATGACCACCCCGACAAACCTCAATACAAATACATCATAAAATGCAAATGAGATGAGCAAACCCTTAGGGATTAAGCAATAACTGAACGCCTCAGTGACGGAGAACACAATTACTTTAATATAAAAAAACTAAAATGTCGTACCCTCATTAATTTTTATAAAAACAACAGAGGAAATAAAATCGGCTCTATCGGAGATGAAAAACAATAAATCACCTGGAAAAGATGGGATAGTGATTGAACAAATCAAAGAAGGAGGAGGAACGTTAGTAAATGTGTTGAAAAAGATGTTCAATGCTTGTTTGACAAAAGGCGTAACCCCCTCCCAGTGGCATAATGCAATAATAACCATAATTCACAAAAAAGGTGATATTTCAGACCTAAAGAACTACAGACCTATTAGTTTGCTCTCCCATACATACAAACTATTCATGAAGATAATAACAAAACGGCTTGTGAACAAACTGGATAGTTACCGACCTTGTGAACAGGCTGGGTTCCGCTCCAGATTCGGAACAAATGATCATCTACAAGTTATAAAAACGCTAATAGAAAAGTGTACAGAGTATAACAAGCCTATCTTTCTTATATTCGTAGATTATGAAAAGGCATTCGATGCTATAGATCATCATAAAATGCTTCGAGCATTGGCTGACTGCCGCATTGACTACAGATATGTCGCCTTGATTAAAAGTATTTACGAAACTGGTACAGCTTGTGTCCGCCTTCATGAAAATACCAATAAGTTTCGAATAGAACGTGGAATTAGACAAGGTGATACTATCTCCCCTAAATTGTTTAGAGCTGTTCTTGAATATATGTTCAAGCAAATAAATGGGGAACTGACCCACCTACGATTTGCCGATGACATCGTTTTAATATCTGATAGAGTTGATAAAGCTACAAAAATGCTACTCACGCTCTATAAAGTGTCAAAAACAATTGGTCTTAAAATTAACACCTCAAAGACAAAATATCTACGGCAAGAGATTCGCTTAGGCCGAGATAATCAGACAACTGAAATACAAAGAAGGATAGGTCTCACATGGGCTGCCTTTGGTAGATTGAATAACATTTAGAAAGGTTTTTAACCAGTGCGTTTTACCGGTTCTTACATATGGTGCAGAAACACTGAGTCTGACAATAAGAACAATAGATAAAATAAGAACAGGAGTCACAGATGCAGTTGAAAAAATAGTCATGGCTAAATGGGCTTGGGCCGGACATGTTGCCAGATTAACGGATGATAGATGGACCAGAAAGATTCTGGAATGGCGACCAAGGCAAGAGGCATATCGAAGCAGAGGACAACCACCGACTAGATGGACGAATGATATTAACGGCATCACCACAAACTCGATGCAAGAAGCTCAAGATAGAAATAGTTGAAAATTTTTACGGGAGACCTACGTTCAGCAGTGGACAAATATAGGCTAATTTATAAGGTCAAAAAACGGTAAATGTTCGCTTTTTTCGTCTTTCAGCAAAAAGTAAAGCTTTGAAACAAATTTGAAATTGAAATTTGTTTAATTTGTTTATCCCAAATTAAACTTTTTTGCAACAATATAAGTTAGAAAATTAAATAGGTATATTAAATTTACGGGTAGATTCTAAGAGAAGAAGACTTATTCTATGAATATTATTAAAAAAATGAGGAAAAATAATTTTAAATATTGCAAAATAATTTGGCAAAAACAAATTTTTTGCTTATTAACAATTAGAATAACTTTTTAACCATTGAGTTTGCAAAAAAACTGATTTGTTCCTATTTTGACACCCTGAATTTTTTTACAAATTTAAAAGGAAAAAAGTTGATCTAGAACACTTTGGGACGAAGTTAGTGCCTTTTTTTATAAATTGATAGCAGCTTTGGTTATAACAATTAAGAGACCTTATTAGGGTCATCTGAAAGAACATACTTTAAGGTTTTAATGTGAAAAATTTGAAAAGGATTGCATTTTAATGGAATCGTTTTAAAGCTTCAAAATTGTGGTCCTCAAAATTGGTAGGCTTTGAAACTAGTGAAAGCGCAGGAGTGTGAAAGGAGCTGTTAACTGTATCTGTTTCTTATATATATATATATATATATATATATATAATATATATATATATATATATATATATATATATATATCATGAGTTTTATCTTACGTGCAATCAAATTTGTGCTATCAATAATTTTCAAATGTACTATAACTTCTGGATCTTTAAGGGTTATTAGATTATAAAGCAATATTTACGACTATAACTATTACTATAATCATTATTTAAGTCTAGCATTTTACTGTTCTATTTTTATGAATAGTTAGTAATACTATTTTATGTATACAGGGTGAGTCAACACTAACGGGACGAAAGATTACAGCGAAATGGTAAAATAGTTAAAAACAATTTTACATTAATAGTTTGTAAGTTGATAAAAGCTGCATTTTAAAATAATTTTGAACTATAGAGGATGTCCCAATAACATTCGGTATATCAAAGTTATATATTTTCTTATGGGACACCCTGTACTTTATTGCATTTTCAAATTGTCCTCAAAAAATAAGGTATAGTTTCATAATGGTTTCTTATACGTAAGTATTGTGTTATGAGTTAAGTCGGCTTTTCTTAAAATGTAAAGTTTTAAGAGAAGGCTCATTTTCAAGTTACTTAAGCAATTATAACAAATTTGCTTTTACATGTAAATAGTTTAGAGCAGGAAGTTCTAAAATAAAAATAGCCATTATGATTACCAACCTCCGTAGGGAGACGGCACTTTAAGAAGAAAGATAAATAGTTGGATATTCGTTAAATGTATTCCATGATTTATTATTAAACATCTCTTTACAGGGTGTTCAAAATTTATAGTTTCATTCTGAGGCTTATTTTTTACGAAAATTGTAAATTACACAAAAACTATGACACCTAATGTTATATAGGACATCCTTATACCATTCGAAAGAGGAAAATTTGTTTAATATAATAATTTAATAATATACATGGTGTTCCATGTAAATTAGGCCACATATCACACATTCAATAATTCTATGATGAATCTGTAAATTTTTAACATCCTGTAAACAGATATTTAATATTAAATCATGGAATACATTTAACAAATGTCCAACTATCTAGACACAAGAAAAAATGTGGTATAATTGCTTAAATAAGCTGAGAATGATTCTTCTTTTAAAACTTTACATTTTAAAAAAAGTCAACATAACTCAGAACACTCTGTACTTAGGTATAGGGAACCCTTATGAAACATACCTTATTTTTGCGGACAGAAAATGCAATAAAATACAATGTGAGACATAAGGAAAAATAACACTTTGATACGTTGCAATTTATTTGGACACTCGGTATAGTTCAAAATAATTTTAAAATTTAACTTTTATCAACTTCGGCCCCGTTAGTGGTAACACACCCTGTATTTGTAATATGCATATTACGAATAATAAAATAGTGATTCAAAAATACTTCCATGGTATTAAGTAGTTGTAGAAAGTATGTTCATACATGTTTTTAGTAAAAGTGGCATTTTTGCTTTCCACTAATTAAGGTGCCTCCCTGTTTGAGTTACTCTTGACCAATAATATATTCGAGATTTTTACTACTAACTTTAAGGAGATCTATGTATTATGATACATGAACTGAACATTAAAAAGTTGTGCATGTTTTTTATCGCCTATATTTAATAACTATTAGGATAAGAAAACAGATGGTTAGTTTCCTGTTTTGTTTTGTCGCAGCTTAAGAGGATGGACGACATCTTGCTTCCTTTATTTCCTAAATCCCAGACTTACGTTTAGACTAATCTTAATTCTTCCCATTTAACATCACTTTTAGTTGACTTAGTTTAGCTTTACATACACCAACCCGTTTTCATTTAAATTGCTTCACACCATAGTCACTAATTCACAGAGTGAGACAAATTTGATTCCATACATTTGATTTTGAAATTTTCTTAAGTACAAGAGGCAGAAGGGTAATACATACAATTCAGAGTACATTACAATTTTTTCAATTAGTTTTTAATGACGCTCGTATCTCATAAGTCTGAAATAATCCTAACAGTCCTCCATTTACTATAATATTATTAAGATAACTTTTTTTCTCTCATATCAATTTGTAAGAACTTTTTAAGTAATGGTTTGTTCAATAATTAAATCAATAGAGAATAACACTCTATTCCTGATACCATAAGTCTACAAATTTTTTTGGTTGTGAAGTGTGAACAACCTGTAAAAATAAATGGTAAATTAGTCAGTATCTGACAGAAAATAATGCAAAGCCCTTAAAAACTCCTTTGGAAATTTCAATATTCTTAGTATAAGCACCAACCTATTCACTTGATCTCGTAGTAATAAGCAGATGTTTAAAAAACTCTACAGGGTGCTTCCTGAAAGCAAGTAGTAAACTAGGGTGGAATATATAAGATATTTAGGATATTTTAACACACTGTTAAACAACTGAGCATGAT